AGGATACCAGATGCTAGCCAAATACGCCTCAAGGGCTTGAAGCTCTTTCTGGGCCTTTAACAAACTGATCTGATCATTTCACACTTCCTTCTCCTCCTACTCAGTCTGGTTTGAATTTTGAGTCCTTAGTATAAGGGATGGGGGGAGGGCATGTAGAAAGCAACTTTAAAATATTGGAAGCAAAAGAAAAGCCCCTGGGGTGCCAAAGTTGACTAAAAATTACAGGGGGAAAGGGATGCAGTCCAGTTTTCTTTACCATCTTTGAATAGCTACTGGGTGCCAGACCATGACATGTTTTGCTTTCCAACCATGAACACACAGGCTCTGGCTGGTTTAGTGGCCAGGTTCTTGACCTGGGCTCCACTGCCCTCAGGCCAGCATGCTTGGCAGGGAGGAATACACAGCCTGGCATCTTGTGCTCTAGGCCCACCTTCTCCAATAGCAGTAAGGCCCTAGTGGAGAGAGCCCCTGCCCAGGCCTGTGAGCAATGCAGCCTCAGGGTGGGTAAAGAAATCTTTAATGAGGATTCAAGGTGCAAGAGGAAGATGTGGAAGACCAGCACTCAGCCCCAGCTGCTTCATGTGTACATGGCTCCATGCAGGTTCTCAAGTCGGTGCTTCTGCTGCTGCTTGCGAGCCTGAAGGAAAGGCAGGGGCCATACCTGAAGGCCTATGGGTGAAGGGACAGGGCAGCTATCATGGAGTTGGTTCTTACTATTTTTAGGCTCCTGGCATCTGTGTTGCCAAGGATCTTGCCCCTCACCAAAGTCACTGAGAAGGCAGCCAGAGCCAGGGACCTGAGGCCTACACAGGCCTGATGAAATGGGAGACGAGGGCATCAAGAATGGCCTGAGGGAGCCCCATTATCATGCCCTCCACTTACCACTAGCCCCTACCTTATCTCTTCTGTGTTCCTCATAAGTGTCATCATCAGTGGGCAACTCATGGCGGCACAGGGGACAGGAATTTGTCTGGGAAAAGCAGGGCAGTGTTCCGGCCAAGGCCTGATCATAAATTAATATCCACCCCCTGCTCCCAATTCTCACCTCAACCCTTCTCCCTTCTCTGATCCCCCAACAGTTCATAAAAAGAAAGGGGCTTGAGAACTGGGCAGGGTAATAGCTGGGAAAAAGAAAGCAGTACCTTGCTTAGCCAGGGCAGAATGCAGCTGGAATGGAAGAGGTGATGGCAAGGCATCTCAATGGCAGTCTCCTCCTCTTCAAATTCCAAAAGACACACAGGGCACTTGACCTCTTTAGGAGGGAGTGTTTATCAGGAGAGCTGCTACAGGCTCCACCTCCCAGCTCCCACTCCTAAAAGACACTCTTGCCCCAACTTAGCCTGAAAAACTGAAGGGCCAGTAAACAATCTGGCTTGGGAAGGGGGTGGGTCTGGCAGACCTGTCACAAAAAGCAGAATTAGTGTTCTCACCAGCCTGAGAGCCTGTGATGACTGTCCTGGGGAGGTTCTCAACCACGGTCTTGGCAGCAGGTGGAGGCAGGTGGTGATCCCAATCTACTACCAACCCCAAGTCTTCAAAGTCCATCCTATTGAAAAGTGACCTGATAATAAAGATGCAAGGTCAGAACCAGAGAAAGCCATACTTTCTCTTTACCCCTACAATTCACTCAGTATTAACATGTAAATACCCTGCCTAGCTAGTAGTAGTAATAGCTACCTCTTCAGCAGAATGAGAAATGGTTTACAGCTGTTACCAGACAACCCCAAGCACTTAGGCTGTTTATTCCCATTTTACACTTGAGATCAGGCTCAGATAAGTTACTCAGGCCACGCAGGAATGATCTACTAAAGCCAGACTCGTGTGTTCGCATGCTTGGTGTTCCCAAAGAATGTACCTGCTTACAACCAAATGGCCCCTACCCCGTCCCCATAATCCGCCTTCTCCTGTACTTCCTAGAGCCCACTGCCCTCTCGCCCCCGACTTCCCCTACTCCAGTCTTTCTCAGAATCTCCTTGCCCCGGAAGCCCACAGACGATCCAAATTATCGACCTCTCCTCGATTCTAGCCTCCAAACTAACTACAGATCATTCATCCCTCCTCCCCAGAATTTGCTGCCCGATAGTCCGCCTTCCCAGCCAGCCCCAACCCCCAAACCTGCTGCCTGGGCCCATCTCTCAGCCCCGCGAACCTACCTCGCGAGCTCCAGCAGCATATTGGTTCGGGCCTCCTGCTGGGGGTCCAAAGGTTCGCAGTCGTGTTCATCGAAATAGGACGCCATGGCAGCTGGGTTGTCTGACACAGCAGCCCTCGGACCCGCTGGACTGCGGCCTCGCAGCACTGGCCAATAAATTGGCGAGTTGAGGCTAGATGACCAATCAGAGCATCCGAAAGGCAAATACAGTGGCTTGTTAGACGCACAGAAAGCGGAAGTATTCATTCTGTCACCTCTCATTGGCTCGAACAAGTCAGGTGACCAAAGGCTAAAGCCAATGGCAGGGGCTGGGGCTGGTCAGAAAACTTGTTTTGGAGTCCCAGCCAAGGGTAAGTATGTGAGATTGATGTGTGGGTTGTGTCCCTCAGAGACGGAACCACTGGCCCGGAAGCTCAGGGATCTTCGAGCCTAGGGGGAGAGTCTGGCTTCAGGGCGCCTTTCACTGCTATGCCACAGGCCCTCAAGTCCTTCTGCACTCACGGGTACTTCTGAACCACCTCTAGTTGCTTCAGAAGTTGGCGCATGATTTCTCCTTGACTCCCACAAAACAAAAATTGCCTGTTCATTTATTATGAGTTAGGCACAAAAGTAAAGGGTGGGACAAACCTTCCTAACCCAGAGAGAGAGAGAGAGATCCTTGCTGGGGAATCTGAGGCCTTACTATTTGTGACGTGTCGAGCCTATTGCTCGACTTCGCCCCTGGCTCTTGTAGAAGTGGTGGCTTTAATTAAATAGTTTGCAAACCTGGCTACCCATGAATCTCTCCTGGAGAGAGGAGAGGAGGGGTTGCAACTTTAAGGAAAAAAAAAGCCTAATACTTAACCCTCAAAGATTCTGATTTAACTGACCTAGGCCTGGGTGTGGTATTTTTATTGTCAGTTCTACATGAGATTCTAAAGGGAGGCAGGGTTGTGAACCACAGCACTACATGATTTGGATGATAGCTACCATTTATTTGACACCTAGAACCTTTACATTGATGGATATTTTACGTACAGTATATATAATCCTCACAGTTGTCCTGGGAGCTAAGTGGCATTATCCCTTTGTACACATGTAAAACCCAAGTCCAGGAAGTGGTTTGCCCAAATTCACATAGTCTCTAAGTGGAAGGCACAAGGTCAAGTGCTCTCCTCCATCTTTCCCAGGAAAGGAAGATGGTAATGAGCCCAGTAGAAGTAACAAGCTTCGTGAGGGGAAAAGGTCCACACAACTCTTGGGTTTGTTCTGGTTTCTCTGTAAGTAGCCCTCTCTCTACCTAACAAGGAGCTGCAACTGTTACACACAACGCTGAATTCCTCTCCCCCCCCCCGCCACTTCTGTTTGAGATGCAGTTAAGTAGCCCAGGCACAGGCCGCCCTGCTTCCATGGTCTTGGTAGGGACTTTTCTCCTTTTTCATGGCCTTTACACAATGATCATTCCTGTGGCACTGAAGGCACTGCCTACTTGGCCCTGTGCAGCCCTGGAGCTTCAAAAAGCCCAAATTATTTCCTATAGGGCAAACTCTGGCCATCTTGCGTGACTGCATTACAGCATGATAGAAGCCCTTCCCGTTTTCACTGCCACCTGTCTCATCTATGATCTAGTGTGGGCAGAGATGTTGGGGAGGAAGTGTTCGGAGGAGAAAAAGTCTATCTGAAGGTGAGAGCCTCGTGATATAAAAACCTCTGAAGTGCTTTCTTCTTGGCCATCCCATCCAGAGTCCCATTGGTCCTCTGAGAATCGCCCAAGACATCAGAAAAATAATAGATTTTATTCTTAGGGAATCAGGCTCAGAGGGTACTGGTTGAAGAGTCTGGTTTAAGAGCTATTTTGTCTTTGCAACTGCACTCCAGAAGGCTGTCTGTGTAGGGTTGGATCAAGTAAGGAAGGGAGAGGAAGGGGCCACTTCTCAAGGGTGGAATCCTTGGGATAGTAAGCTTTCTAAACAGCCTCAGGGGTGGCGGCAGAGCAGAATGAACCAACGTAGAGACTTGTGCTGGTGCTCGCTAGCTCTCGCGCTCCCCCGCTCCACACACACACACAAAACCAGCTTTTAACCAAACAGTGGCTTTTAACCAAACAGCAGCTTTTACTAAGCTCCAGGTGGGGCTGGCCTGGCATGGCCAATGCAGCAGGCTGCCCTCCAAGGCCAGTCTGTGGCATGATAGGAACTGCTATGGTGCACATATTGGGGCTGCCCATTGGTGCTCACTGGGGTGGCTCAGATGGGAGCAAACACCAGGGTTCTCTGGAAACCAGAACCAGCCAGTGTGGCCATTTGGCCTCCCCTCCAGACCCAGCTGTGTCAATCCCCAGGCCCCGAGGCAGCACCTGCATCCTGGGCCTGTGAAGCACTGCTGCCCTCGCTTCTCTGTGGGAGAAACATGACCAGCAGCACAATCAAGATGACGAGCAGGCCAATGCCCACCACCAGCCCCAAGTAGATCCGGCAACGGATGTTCTCCCAGCGCTTCTTCTGGGCCAAGGTCTTGGTTGTCTTGGTGAAGGCTGAGCTCTGTGGATACCCCCAGACACAGGATGGGAGTTAGTGGTACCCCCAGAACCCCAGAGCCAGCTCCTCCCAAACCCGCCCCAGCAAGGCATGGTCTCCTTCTGAATCCTTTCCATCTTGTCTGTTCCCTTTCTCCACACAGCCTGCCCGGGACCCTCCCAGCCTGACTACTGGCCTGACACTGGTGTAGCCTTTGACTTTCGGCCCTTCAGGCTCACCCCCAGTTAACGATGCCAGCTCTCAACCTATAGGAAGGCCCGCAGCTTCAAAGCAAGGGCTTCATACTTCACAAAGCCTACCTGCTGCATATCTAGGCTAGGGGTGCCTCAAGAAACCCACAGGCCCCACACTGGCCTTCACACAAGCCTCAGGCCCCACCAAAGGCTGAGACTCTGAACACAGCCTGAGAGCTCCCTCTAAAGGCTTCTCCTAGCCTCTCTCTTCCCCCTCCCTATTTCCCCAGGCCTCGCACCATGTCCAGGAGTTGGTCTGAACGCTGCTCCAGCTCTGCCAGTTTCCCATCGCGCTCCAGGACCTTGTCAAAGTTGTTGAGCATGATTTCCGTCCCCTCATCCGCCTGCCGCTGGCACCGCTGCCTAGGCACCAAGCCCAAGGTCAAGGCTGAATGAGCCCCACACCTGGCTTTCATCCAGGCCTGAGACATAGAGGTCTCCTTGTCCCCATAGTGTGTGAGTGTGTGTGTGTGTGTGTGTGTGTGTGTGTGTGTGTGGTATAGTATAGTGTAGTGTAGTGTATGGGTAGGGGAAACAGCATCTTTCATGTAAGGATATGATATGTGTGGAGTAAAGGGCCAGCCCCCGGGTGTGTATGGCTCACCTTTGGTCTCACAGGCCCCATCCCATCAAGGCAGGTCGGCTTCCTCTAAGGTGCCCCAGGATGGGAACTTCCCAGGACCCCATCCTCCCACAAAGCAGATACTTTGCTCACCTGCTCCAGGATGGCCTTTAACCAATGTCTACCTGCCCTATGGCTTCCTACAGCAAAGAATAGGGAACCAAACTACTTGTCTAGAGTCCAAACAGGGAGGAGATCCACCCCCACAGAGCTAGAAAAGTAATTTTGGACCACCACATGTCATAGCCTCTGCCTAACCCACAGACACACACAAAGACATGAACTGAGAAGATCAGATCTCCTTCCTTGGGCCTCTGACTGGTCAGGCCAGTTCAGCCTCCTGGCCTGAGCGGTCCTGCATTAATGCTCAAAGTTGATTCCCTGCCTGCCCGGAACCTCAGCCTTCCCTGCTTCTGAACTCCAGCCTCCCAGCTAGCCAGGATCTTCACTGGGGTCCAAGCTCACAAAGATGAGTCTTTGGGCTCCCAGCCAGGGCAGCAGCCTCACCCAACAGAGGAACCCAGCTCATTTCAAAGGACTGGGAAGAGAGGTGCAGGGTCCAAGCTGATGGAGGCTAAGAGGACACAAGGGAGAAAAAAGGCATGAGTCATAAGAAAAAAAAGAACAGGTTTGGACCCATGCATCTGAGAGAGACCCGGGGCAGGAGGACCTGGGGAAAGTTGGAAGTCCAGGAGCAGTTCCAAGGACAAATCAGGGAAATGAATTCAAGGATTAATGAACCACAGCAAGAACTCCCTCCTCCCAGCCTAGTCCCCCACAGCCCACCCCTCTTCTCATCTCCTCCCCACAGAGCACTGCCCTTTCCTGCCAAACCATATTGCCCATTGTCTGCAGTAGATACTTTGGCACTTGACTGAATTCCACTTAAAACCACAGAAAGAGAAGAGATCTGGTGGTTACAGAGGACTCAGAGAAGAATTTTCATTCAGGATCTTTGCAGCTGCCTTGCACACAACCTCCAAGCATTCCCCAGTACATGAGTCCTATCTCCCCAACTGAGCCACAAGTTCGCAGAGGGAGGGTAGAGCCCAGTGCCCTTCCTTTGTCTGCCACCATCCCAGGGGCCCGGGAAGCCAGCACAGTGCTGACCATTGCAAGGATTCAATGAGTGGGTCAGTTGCATTACAGGCTATCCAAAAGCAACTCTTATTCTCAAGAGCTGTTATCCCAGTGTGTTTATCTAGCCCAGCAGGAGTTTCAAGGGGCAGCATCTGAAACCTAAGTAGGTCAATATTTGCCTATGAGCTAGAAAAGCAACCTGCTTCAAGAGGGGGCAGGCAAACCACAAACCATGGAGAGGGGTGTGTTCACAGGTGGGGGGAATAAGGAGGAAGTACAAAGAGAACAGGGAAGCTGTACTCTTCTCTACCTGTTCCTGAGTCAACCATCATCACCACTATTATGATGACTAAATTATTCAACAAGGATCCCATTATCTGGAGCCTCTTATGTTCAAATAGTCCAAAGCAAAAACTTGGGAATGGACAAAGATTTGAAAAAGAATCACTTCTAGAGATTGGTGGGACATTGGGTATTATTTTTTCTACTCTGAATGCTACAGCTGTTGTTATCCTGTTCTCCAACATGGGGTGACACTGGGTCACATTCTCCAAGAGAGCTGGCTGTGCCTCCCACTTCAATTTTTAGCCTTCTTCCCCCACTGGAAGCCAAGCCTGTCCGGAGCCAAGATGGGCCCAGGCCTAAAAGAACATATTCGCTCCAAGAAACACAGAAGTCCCAGGCTCGAGTCTCTGGCTCTCCTTGGCTACACTCCATCAGAGGAAAAAAGACACTGCAGGCACAGGCCTCTACTGCCACAGTGAGAACTATGAGATGTAAAAGGAGGTAGCGACCAGAGGGCAAGGCCACGCTGCCTGCTGCCACATTGAGCTCAGCCTAGTGCCTGGCACACAGTGGCCTTGTGGAAAGTATTTTCTGAATGAATTGTGCCTGTTCTTAAGAAGATCACTATAGACTTGGGAAAGAGATATATGCCATACAATTACAGAAAAGAGTTACATTGGGAGTTACAAATAGTGAGTGGTGGAGCTGTCTGCAGAGGGTTAATTCCTGAGAACTGTCATACGCAGAGGGGAGTGAGCCCTTGAAGGATGGGGTGGAGCTGGGCATTCCAGACACAGAGAGACAATGACATGCTTGGGACAGAGATGGACTAGGCAAAGGGTAAGAGTGGAGGGGCAGGGTGGGCAGTGAAACTCAAGAAGAGGAAGCTCATTTGGAGGGAGAGACAGAACAAGAGCCAGTGTGGGTTTCTGAGCCAAGGGCAACAGCGGAGAGGTACTTCAAGATAATTTGTCTGTTGGTGGTAGACTGGCATGGATGGAAACGAGAAAACTTAGGGCAGAGTGCCCAGCCAGAAGGGGCTGAGAAGTGCCATCAGCAGGGGTTTGAGGAGATGTCCACCAGGCTGAGAGCAGAGAGTGTAGAGAGAATGGGTGGGTGAAAGAGGCACTTCCAAGCCCTGCAAGGGGTCTGCAGGGCTTGCAGTTGCAAACCATGGGGAGAGGGCAGCAGTGGCATAGTTGGCAAACAGAGGGTGGTAGTTACACAAGAAATGTTCTTGACAGTTACCCTCTGTCCACAATGTTCCTCCTTCGATGCACAAATGTCCCTTTAGGGTTTCCTAGGCCAAATACCCTTTTTTCCTCTGAAAACTAAGCTCTCAAAAACCTCCCTGTCCTAACTCTCCTGTCTCCCCTCCCTCTTGGTTAGTGCCTAAGAAACCCTATTCCGCTGTCATCAATGTAGTCCGATGGACCCGGGCAGAGATCGGGTGTATTAACTCCTTCCTACGGTAGCACTCACCTGAGCTCAGAGACTAGGAGCAGGGCTCTGCATTGCAGCCCTGGGTTTCTTCAAATCCTGCTTCTGCCACTCACCAGCTGAGTGACTGAAGACTGAGGATATAAACTTTCTGATCCACCACTTCCTCATCTGTAAAGCAGTGACAATAATATCTACGGTAATGTTAGCTATGACATACGACATATTATAAAGGACTAGCACAATACTTGACACATACTAGGTGCTCAATACATAACGGCTATTATTATTGATCTAACCCATTTCCTTACTTTTTTTTAGCAGTCAGAGCCCAAGAACTACACAATGTGTGTGGTCAATAAAACCTCTTAGATATTTTTACGAAATACACAGCCGAGCAAGCTCTTCCTTGTGGCAAACTTGTGCCCTTGTTTCTAACCTAAATACAGAACTTTAATAGGCCTTTGAGAACCTGTATCTAGTTTATTTCCATTAGGCTGCTGAGGTTTTACGTCTTGACAGCAATAACATCCACTATTCAATGGGCACATAGTCTGAGCTAAACAATGTGTGCTACTAGCTGTCTGTCCCCTTAATCTCATTTAATCCTCACAACAATCCATGGAGGACAGTACTATTATCCCAGTTTTATAAGAAACTGAGGCTCAGAGGGATTAAATCACCCATATGCAATGTCACAGAGCCAGTGAGTAGAAGACCCAGGAGCTGAATCAACATAGACTCCAAGGATCACATTCTTAACCCCTTTGCTAATCTGAATGCAGACAAAAGAAGGTCAAATGCTTTAGCTGGCTGGCTAAAGACTCATCAGACCTTTTGATGCTGCCAACTCGTGTGCATGTGAAGGAGGACAAAACCCAAATTCTTTGGATAGTACATGAGAGAGGACCATCTACAAGATGAATAAATTCAAGTCATTACTCGTTCAATTCCCATCTTTCCCATCACTATTTTGCTCCTACTCTATCCCCAATACCCATGACCATGTCTGGCACAAAGGAAACGCCCAAGAAATATTTGTTGATTTAGTGAATAAGAAGAAAAGGGAAAGGA